CAAACCTGTATAAAAAAAAGCACATTGTCCGATGATCATATTCGTACATATTATGGAATGAAAGCAAGATGGCAGTACACACCAGGAATCAGACAAATTTCAATTGCACAACTAATGATATCCAAGAAATTCAGGTCAGAGTGACCGCTGTTAGCGACACTGACTCCAGCTAGATTGCTACACATTGTCCTGTATTCATGAAAAATAATTATTGATGAATTTAGTGTCAATGAATGTGCCCATACTTTTGAAATAAGACAGAGGCAACAATATATAGCACAAGACATTCTGAATAGTAAAATTTGCCAAATAAGGGCTAAATAATGTCTGATTATTCACTTCATCATAATCAGACATCTTGTCAGTTGAAAAGTGAAATTCAAAATCGCCAAAAGGGTTTCAAAAACTGAAATGAGTAAAATGAATATCAAACATACAGAAATTGTAGATATAGCTACATGTACATTGAACTTGAACTTAACATCTTCCAATTGATTCACCAATATACTACATACATGACAGTTGTAAGTGCCATGCATATTTGCTGGCACTTTGTGATTAGCTGTTCATGGCAAGCATGTCTACTGGTGGTTAGTAATTGGCTGCCATTCACAGTACAAAGGTCAAACAAATCTATTGGGGGGGGGGGGGGGGGCTGATGAAACATCAGTAAAGCTGGTGTCAGCTTGCTAAGAAAGGTTAAATATTGCCTTAGATGATGGATCTGAATTTCAAAGAATTTTTTAAAATTGTGAGTACTATCAAAGTTCTCAAATCCATATATTGGTACCTGCAAACTTGCTAATACTCCATCTACAGTAAAAAAAAATTAAAACAAGGATGAAGTAGACCTTACCGATGGAACCTGACCTCTAGTCCAAGACACAAACGTTTGCCAATAGATATCTAGTTGTAATGGATGAAAATGTTCTCCAATTCCGTAAATATGCACGGAAGGTAGATTTGTTGAAATATGGAGAAACTGATCAGCGTATATGAGGGGACTGACACTTGTATCAAATCTGAAATTGGTAAAACAAAGCTGGTATATTTTGAAAGATGTTGCATGGTCTGCTTGCAGTCACAATTAAGGCATTTTGCCAATACCAGTAATTTATTCAATAATTGATGCACTTTGGGGAAAATCCTGGTTGTCTGATAATGCATCGAATTGCCTTTATGATATGAAGAATGATGGTCATAAGAAATAAGGATTCTGTGGCATTATCTACCATTCATTCTTGCAATTTGTTCATAACGAAATACATAACAAAAAATTTATCAGGGGAAACAATATTGACATTCAATATTCATTCATTGTTTTTTTTTAAAGATGTTATTTATTGATTTAAGGTAGAAGCCAACACGCATATGAAAATACTCAGAATTTATTTATTTTGCAATAAATTGTACTCCAAGGCAATATACTGATATTGACTTAAAAAAATGTTGTGGTCACCAACTTAATTTTTTAACAAAATGATGGTTGTATTTTATTGGGTAATTTCCATTTTGCAATATTATAACATTTTCACCACAGGTTCGTATGGCAGAGATATCATTATGCCAAATCTCAAATTGCAGCCTGGTGACATAGGCTGAAAAAAAGGATTTTTGACAAATATTAGGACAAGTTTCAGAAAAAATGTCACTGCAACACACAACAGTGCTATTTCAAATTCATTGTGCCATGAGACATTAGCTCCATGATTGTACATAATAAATCAATGAACATTGTCATGCGATTCACAAGTATGACCAACTTTCTCAAAAATTATGAGTACAGAGTAGGCTTTACCATACGCTAGGTATTCTGTTTCTCTGCTTCGCTGAGTAAGTACACTTCACCCTTTACATGTAGCTGTATTATTGATGCACCAAAGTAGATTAGAAACACTTACACATTAACTCCTGTACTATTTCTCTTTACACCAAAGCTGAATGGTCGATGTCCAAATTCCACAGAGTAGGATGGTGAAGTAGGATTTATTAGTAAATGCTGGTGTATCAATTGGTACTTCGTATCTGTCATTATCTGGGTCGTAAATCTGTGATGATGTCAACAAATAAAATAATAAAACGTCATTTATAATAAAATAATCAATTTCAATATATATGAACAATATTATTATATTAGTAGTGTTCACGCTACATGAAGTACGGGCTACGATTTAAGCTGATTTAGGCTTATCTCACATATTTGCATTTCGGCTAGACCCAATTGTGTCCATGCACTGGGAGGGCCAGTCCTTAACACGGGCTAAGGGGCGCCATCAGTCGGTGACCTTTGTTAAGCTGCTGTTTACGAAAAATCTTTCAATTTAGCTTCTGGTAAGCATTTTTTCTGTTCCTCGACGAGAAGTCCAATTGTCTCAAGATTTCGCTGTCTTTCCATATACTCAGTAAAGCTTTTGTCTCTTCGTCGCTCAAGTTTTCACAAGGGAACGAAGTTTCGTACACACTGAGCTGCCATTTTGAAAATGAGAAGATTGCATATATTTGATCATGTGCATAATATTCACACCCAAAGATCACCACGGAGGGCACTTAGCCCTGCATGTGCTAAACGTCATGACCCTCCTTCCCCTTATATGCAACAACACAATGCACTTTCTAAAACACAGCAATCAAAAACTCACTTGCACTAATCATGTAAATAAACGATTTATTTTTTCTATATTTGACTTTTATTTTCACCATATAAATAGGATTTTTGAGATGTGCATGAAGACATGGTGGGTAACTACATGTTTGTCGCCAGGCAACGGATCCGTTTATGTCATAACTTGAAAAAGAAATGGCACTAGATCTTTGGGGAAAAAAACGTGAAAACTAAATTATGCTGAATTAGTTTTTAAGGCTATGCAAATATGAATAAGATATTGGAAATCACATGTTTTAGTTGCATCTACAATTGTAGCATACTGTATATATGACAGTCGTGTCTCAATGCTATAATTGTCTGACTGGTTGCTGACCTCCCCAATTCATTGCATTCTAGGTTCATAAGAGGGTCACTGCTGGTTGTCAAAGAACAATTAAAATGAACATAAGCATGCAATGAAAATGCCCATCCATGTCTATTCTGTATTTATGCACAGACTGCACCAATAAAAATCAGATTAATAGTAGTAAGGGGTACTGGTTTCTATACACGGCCACCAACGTAGGTTATATGGCTGCTGGTGTTCACCTCTCTAACTACATGCGACCAATCATGTTACAAGCCACTTTCTTGAGTGATAAAGCCTGTTTTAGTAAAGCACACTCTTACTGATTGAGCTGCTGTATTTTTGTTGGAGGTGTGTTCACAATTGACTGCATTATAAGTGATCCATGCCTTTATTTAGATTATGACTGCAATAGACAGTTGAATAACATGTAACACAGCAGTATTATACATACAGTATCATGACCTAATAACTATATAAACCAATCAATGACTAACATGAGTGAAATTATGAATCCTATTGTCTTATATTAAGTAGTATGTGCCTCTATCCTATACGTGTCAAAAAATTTCCGCAACAAGACTTCTAATAGGTGATTTTCTGTACAATTGCGAGATCTCGCGAGATGCATGAAAGACGCGCGTCGAATGTCTGCCGCAAAAATCAAACGATTTGATTTTGAACTAGAATTTCTTTATTTCGCAGCTTACATTGACCGGCCGATCTTCGACAGAGGAATATTGCCTCCGAATACCCTTACTTAATCGAAATTGCCTATCATCAAATGTGGACAGCACATTATTAAGCATGGAAATGTCCCCGAAATACTTTCGCGTTTGTCGAATCCCACGCGATGTTTGACGCGACTACGATGCTATGACCTTTGTTTGTCCTGTTTTTACGTTCGATTTCACGCATAACGCATGATTCTCGCAGTGAACGGAAAATGGTCTATTGCTTGATTATGCTTTCCATTTTTGTAATGCTCATCTCACACTTTCAATCAACAAATCAAAGAGGTGCACTGGGGATAAAGTACCAAAAAGTTTCTTATTTGTGTTGATACCAAAATTTTGAAATGTAAGAGTTGAGTGTTAGATTTCTCTCCAATTTTTGTTAACAATCCTCAAATTATAACTGAATCTAGACAAGTGTACAAATAATAAGTGTTTATTACTCACGATAAAGCTAATGTATTGTTTATTAACTTCTTATTCACACCCTGTCTTGTTTTTCAATGTAATTCGGTATGTACATTAATTCAATATCCAATGCCTAGCAATTAATTAAGCTGTCTGAAAATTATAAGCCTGTTTCAAAGCTTATGTTCCCTTGCTTCTCATTTGCGTATTTATTTGTTAATAATCGTTTTTGTTTGGACTGAAAAACAAAAAACCCTGTTTCGAAGCTGAAGTTGAACGTCCCTTGTTTCTTATTTGCATATTTAATTGTAAACTCATGGGCGGATACAAGATTCTTTTATGGGGGGGGGGTCCAAACTTTAAAATGAAATATAAACTAAGTTAATGATTTTTTATATTATACAAAACGAATTGAATAATTTTTTCAACGGGGG